TCAATAGCTCGGCTGTTGCTCCAACCCAATTGCCCCAGCTAGCAGCTTCAGCTTATACGGGCGATGGGGCTCGGGGAAGGCCCGAGCAAGAGGCCAGGCGGGAATAGACAGCCGGATAGCCTGAGGGCTGTGTGATGTGCGGCATCGGTGCATGCGCCGACCTTGACATCTCCTTGTCCTCCTTCGACATGTTGCTGTTGAAGCTGAGGCTTCCAATGGAGTTATGCACCACTAGCTGCTGTTGCTGCGGTTGAGTCGCCGACTGAGATTGCTCTGTGAGTAACAACTATGGTCGAGATTGGCTGGGTTTGGTCACGGAGCTCGCTGGATTCTGGAAAAAACGAAACAGAAAGCATGCACATTGAAAAGAACAAAATTTAACTATTAATGTCGTGTTTACCAATCGACGGCTGGAACAAAGAATGCCTGCAGTCTGGAACAACGATTGCCCGAGATTAGGAACAATGCCACAACGACGAACATGATCTGGAACAACGAAAGCCGAAATCGTCATTTCACAAATTCAATTGAGAAGGACATTATGATTTGCAGACCCCAACAAGATAGAAGGAAAGAACTTCTTATCACCTTCACTTTGTGAAATTGGACTTTATCGTTGATGGGGTAGGTTGTGGCCTCATTGGATGGTTGGATGTGGATACATGTGCTGGGGCAACCTTGGGTAGACGAGAGTTTGATGTCGAAATTTGTTGAGCATTTTGGTCAAGTGGTTGCTAAGAAAGATGCGGAAGAGAGGGAGCGAGAGAGAAAAGGATGTAAAATGTTTCATTAGTTTTACTTGGTTTAGGGTGATTAAAGAGTTAGAAGCAAATAAAAAATAAATTTTTTATATCAAATTTGAACTAATTCATGTGATTAGGAGTCTTCTACATACGTCTAGAGTCTTCTCCAACATCAAGAATACATTTTTTATAAAAAAATAAAATAAAATTCTCTTTAGTAAAAAAAATTCAAGACTAAAATGTCTTAAAATAATTAACATATAAAATAATTCATTAAAATAGGGGTACTTTAGTAATTACATTATTTTTCATTCCGATTCATGTGAATTAGTAAATAGTTTATATAGATCAATGTCATTCCTACTCCGATTCCAGACAGTCTTAGTAAACAACTTTAACAAGAAAATCCCAAATATTCAAAGGAACAAGGAAATCTCACTTGAAACTACAAGCTAGAACTTGAAGCTCTCGGGTCTAGGATCACTGCACTTCCCAATGCACTGATGGTGCATGCAAGAACCCAGTTATGTTCCTAAAGTTGCCATGAGTCCAAATATACAAGTTCCAAGTTCACGATGTAAAGAAATGGTAGGAATTATTGTGATGCTATCGGTGCCTTATCCGAAATTACAAATAAAATTATTTTGTATTATTTTATAAAATAAAAAAATACTAATATTTTATTACCTATTGCCATGACTATTCAGTTTAGGGATGGAGATGCAAATGACAGTTACTATTCATTAAACATAGTTTCAATAGTGAGTTGCCCATTAAAGATAGTTTCAATAGTGAGTTGCCCTAGGGGACCTTTGCAACGTTGAAGTTGCTCTAAGGAGTCCAACTTTAAGAGAGTCTCCTGAGTATTTTTCTAAATTAAAATCAACACTAATAGTAAGAGTTGGAAATTTCCATTAATTTGACTATCAATTCTCAAATAATATCTATGGCCCAACACTCATGAATTCATGATATATATAGTTTATATTATAATCCCCTATTGATTAATTACCACATGGTACAACAGTGATATGTAGGTGATTACGTTGAAAAATTATCATAATTAAGCCTAATCAAGCGTGCTTTTGCCGTTTTATTAATGAAAAAAATTCATGGTTTTTCTGTAATGATCATGAATAATGATATTAATTATTATGGTTTTTTTGTCAAACTTAATTATTATGGTTTGACTTTTAAAATAATTAAACTTTATAAATTTCATGTGTAGCCATATACCCACCGAATTGCTCTTCATTAGTCTTCAATTGCTGTCATATGTCATAAGGGGTGTGATATCCACACACATCTTTTTATTTCTCTCACACTTTTTTTATTTTCGACCGTCGGATCGGATGAATTGAAGAAGATAAACGGACAGAAATTAATAAGGGGTGTGTGGATAGCACACCCCATGTCATAAATACATTGTATATATAAAGATTAATTTAGTCTAATTCGTGGCCTCATCCTAACATTACTGATATAGGATTTGGATCCTCTCCTGAGCTAATGGAGAGGATCCTCTTGACCACTAATCATGGGCCGTTGGATTTTATCCAACGGCTATAATTATTATAACTTTAAAGGGACCCCCTGTTTGTAGCCGTTGGATAAAAATCCAACGGCCCATGATTAGTGGTCAGGAGAATCCTCTCCATTAGCTTAGGAAAGGATCCAAGTCCACTGATATATATGTGTACATGAATAATATATTTAATAATCAACTTGTTTGAATTTTTTTGGGGTCAATTAGCCAACTTGTATCAGTTGTTTGAAAGTGTTATCTAGTCTTCGAATCATATAAAAGCGAGAGAAAAAAAATATACATATATATATATATATATATATTTGTGTGAATTGATACATAATTGTGACTGGCATATTATTATGTTTGGTAAACGAGTTGTGTTTGTCTTATTCGTATCATTTTTGTATCATATTCCTTATCTTAATGGGTCTTATCGTGTTAAATCTGTTATTTTAACAAGTGATCCGATAACGACTTGATTTGTTTATGGGGCATGTCATTTCTCATTTGGTGTTGGATTAATGAGTTATACAAGAAATTGTCATACCTAATTTAGATATTGCAAACAATATCTTGTCAAGTTTTTTAATGACTGACCCGATAACAAACTGATTCGTTAACAGATGACCTGATAACGACATGACTTATTAAAAAGTTGATCCGAAATATTTTATTTTTGTATTATTCATATCGTATTAACATGTCTTACAAAAAATTGTGAGACAAACATATTTTAATGAGGTTGCTCGGTAGTGGGTGGATAATTTGTTATGAATAAAATCATGTAAATATAATTTATTTTTTGTATAAAAAATGATGAAAACCCTTGCTTGCATGTATGTATGTGTATGTGTGTGTGTGTGTATTTATATGTTAGGTTCAGTTCCACATACTATTCTCAATTCTGTTTTATGTGGACTTTGCATTAATGGGCATTCGGCGCGTGGTCAGACACTGCTGCCAGAGCCCACGTCCCGCCATTTCAAAACCCCACTACCTACTTCTTCTTCTTCCTTTTTCTTTTCCCCGTTCCGTTTTGTTGCAGCATAGAAAATACACAAACTGTGAATTTTTATAGAAAGTTCCGGCATTCAGTTCCGGCAATCGCGTTTTTACTGGGTCTTCTTTGCTTTTATTAATTTTAAGCCTCCCGAGATTATTCCTTCAGCTTCACTTATTAACTTTTTTTCAGTAATTATAATCAAGCGCCTCATTAGAGAATGCCCTTTGAACAAGCACTTGTTTTTACAAGGTCTTTTAGATTGGTTTATGTGGGCTTAATTGCTATAACACAATTGCAATACAAGGTCATTTATTACTACGATTTATTGTATTCATCTTTACGATATATTGTATTCCTCTTCACTTGTAAGTAAGAGGTCATAGGTTTAGTTTTCGCCAAAGACGAGTTTGAACCACATTATTACTAGCCGATTATGAGACTAAACCCACCCATTCTTACTCTAGATAATATCGTTTATTCAAAAACAAAAATTGCAATACAAGTTTTACATAGGTGAGTTTTGTCAACTAATTCTGACTCCATTTCAATTTCTATCATAATATTTGTTATTCCCTATCCCAAACCCATTAATTTAAATATTGAAGTCAAGAATTTGAAGCATTCTCATATAACTCAACCTTTTCAACCTATGTTAGGAGTTTGATTTCTATAAAATAGGAATCAAACTCAAATTTTCTAGTTTATTGTTGAAAGCCTAAGTGTTTTCTTTTATAAGTACTTTTATTATAACAATTTTTATCAGACTCTAATAAACAACGTTCTATAAGAGGCTAGGAGCTAGTAGGGCGGCGGGCTGGGGCCTAGGACGAACTAGGCGAATTTAAGTAAATCTATTGTATTTCATGTAAATGAGTGTTTGTTTATATTTAAAATATATATAATTTCATCATAAACTGGAAAATATAATGATATATATATATATATTATGAAGTATTGGAACATAATAAAAACATGGGGAGCAAACATATAATGTGTATTTATTTAAGTATTCAGTAAGTCTCTTACAATTTATTGGAAATAATAAAATGTAAAAGGAAACTTATCTATATTTTATCTAAGTGAGTCGCAACCTAGTCAGGTGTATAGGCGGGCTAGGCCGGTGCCTAGGCAGGCACCTTAGCAGGTCTAGGTGTATTTTCTCAATTTTCAAAGCCTAGGCATTAATCGGGACGATGGTCAGCCATCTAGCGCCTAGAAGACGCTAAGTGGAGATTTTTAGAATAGTGCTAATAAACAATAATTCAAGGATTTACTTGTCTTTCTCCAAGAAGTGCTTATCTGATTCAGAAGCATTTTTAATATAAACGCAATGAAAAATGCTTATAAGGCCTTTATCAACTATGACCTTTGGGCCACTAATACAAAGTCATTTATGCAAGTTTCTTCACATGATATTGTATTCATGTTTCATGAATATGATTGCGATGAATTTGTTTCATAGGAAAATAACTTACATGTTAGCAAGCACATGACATTATGCCAATTAAACAAAAAAACTTTGATCTTTATTTCATTAATACAAAACGTTACTATAAAGATGGGATTCCGCTATGTAAGTCCTAGATTCATAATAGTCTTTGTCCATTGTATAACATAGTTCTCAAGCTGGGTCCCACCTAGTACTCCCAAAAAAATCTGACGCGCATTTACAGGGCGTGAGTTCCATCATTCTACCCAACTCATCTATCTGTTTGTGCCTACCCCCCCTTTAACCTTGTTATATTTCCCTTTCCAAAATCATACCTTTAATCTCTCCCTCTCTCTCGTTTGTGACCGGTGGTTTTTGTTTTGATTGTTGAAGCCCATTTTGCAATCATATTCTGGGATTTTTTTGCTGAGTCAAATGACAGCTCCAAACATAGCGACAATCGCCGCTTCTCTGGAGAGGTCTCTCCAAAACTGCTCCCTAAACAACCAGCAGAGTGAACACCACAACCGGAGAAGCGGCAACGTCACAGTCGACGGCGAAGGTCAAGGCTCGAGCGTCACTGACGGCGTATTGGCCGCCATGGGGATGCAGGGCAGGTCATCGTCTTCAACCTCATCAACCTCGGACGCCACTTTAGAGCTCAACTCCCATGTCTCCCTTCCATACCATTGGGAACAATGCCTCGACTTAAAGGTTGGTTTTTTTATTATAATTATAATTTTATCTCCTTTTTCCTCTTGATTGCTGGAAAAAAACAGAACCCATTAATTATTTTGTTTAGGATTTTTTCCATTTTTTGAAGCTTCAATAAATGCAGAAAACACAGCAGATCTTGCAACTTCTTCATTAAAATTCCTTTACTGTATTTAATGCTTTGTGCTCTCTGTAATTTCATTAATTTCTTGTTGCATTTACTGCTTCATGCCCTTTTGTTATAAAATTCAGAATCAAGAACTTTTCATACCAAAAATCCTTTCACACACTTCATACCAAAAATCCACAGAAAGGGAATAAATGGTTTTTTATTTTTTATTATTTTATTGTTTTACTTTCAATCCTCTTCAATCTTTTACTTTAGGAGACAAGGAAAAAGAGTAAAGCTTTACTGGGTTTGAACCTCTAGCGGTGCGGCAATAAATTATTAAAGAAAAAATTTGAAATAGTTCTAATTTTATAGGTGTACTTTTGAAATAGGTTTCATTTTTAGTGACTTTTGATTTTTGAAATAAGTTTAATTTTTAGTTGCTTTGAACTCATATCAAAATACCCCTTAATTAAAAGGAGAGAAACTTTTTACTTTTCAATGTTTTCTCACAGATTTTCCTCTCTTGGTAAGTTAGTACGTTTTCTTTGAAGAGTAAAGGTGAAACCTTTTTCTGTTTGAATAATTGCATTGTCTCAAACAAGAGAAAAAGAATCTGGGTTCAATCATATATAGTCGTTTTCAATGTTTTCAATAACAAAACTTATATATATTTGAATTAATTCCTTCAAAGAAAATAACTGAGCTCTTGAAGTGTTTTTCTATAAAATTTATAATTGTCGGGGCGTTGTTTTTAATTTACTACTTGATTTAATAATTTGCAGACAGGGGAGATTTACTACATAAACTGGAGGAACGGGATGAAAGTGAAAGAAGATCCGAGGACAAGAGCAGAGTACAGTGGCGACTTCTACTACTCAGAAGAAGATGAAAACAGCTCCTATGACAACGAAGAGTCTTCGACCGACTCGTCGCCATATTCGTGCAGATACGAGCAGCACCAGCAGCAGGTAGAGAATCACAACAACAACAATAATGTGTTAGTAGTGGGTGGCTGCAAAGTCTGTCTCATGTACTTCATGGTCCCGAAACAGCTCGAGGACTGCCCCAAATGCTCCGGTCAACTTCTCCACTTCGATCGATCCGAAAATGGCTCCCCATGATCACCACTCACTCACATTCATTTTCTCCTTAATTTCTTAGTTAATTATAATTTGTTCTTAATCATGTTTTGGTTTTTTCAAACTTAGAACAAACCCCCTTGTGCTCTAAGATTATGAAACTATAGACAAATCACAAAAGGGTTTCTAGTTTTTAGTATTTAGTAATTTGGTAGTTTATTTTGTTGATTGCCTAGCTCCTGTTCTTTAATTTTATTTTTTTCTTGTTAATTATTTTGGAATTTTGAGGGAGGCCATGGGGAGTGGAGGAAGAGAGGAGTCCTACAGTGCCAGCATAGCACCACAACAAGGTCAATGGTAGAGCCTATTAGAGGGAGGAACAGAAATAATATTTGGTAATGATTGCGACGTGTAGGTTTCCTTCTCTTTTGTTCCATTTCCATGATAGATAATGATGAATCCATGATGATCTCTCTTTTATTTTCTTTTTTTTTTATCTTCTTATTTTTCTATATTTATTCTGTCCAAATTATTCGTTGTTATTAATCAAAGTACTCGTCAATCATCATGCGAAGCTCCCAATAATTCCGGTCAGAATTTCTCTTTATTACAATTATATCTCTGCATTTTCTTTTTCGAAGAGGACATGTTTTAATCAATGTCATTGTTTGTCATACGCTTGTATTTGGTAATCTTACTTTCTTAATCGATTCATTTGATGTGTCAATTTATCATACTAGATCAGATGAGTCTGTAAAACTTAAGAACACAAAGCTTTCACTTCAATTGCATGCCCATTTAATCGTGGGATGCATGTATTTATAACCACTTACAGATTACAATTAGGGTTTGAAATAACCCCAGAAGTTCAAAATTCAAAAGTACAAACTGAAATTTACAAAGATTACACACAGCTTTAGTTATAAGAATAATTCAAAATGAAGTCCTACAAACAAGGAGATAAGACTCCTAAGCACAATACAAACTCCTCAAGAGACGTTGGTGGTAACAAACTGTTGACTTCGTTTAACAGCCCCTCGCAAGCTGACTGGTTGTGGAACAACATGAAGCTTGGACACCAGCAACTTGAAGCGCACCGTTGACAGTCCTTTTGTAAAGAAATCAGCTACCTGATCTTGAGAACAAATGTAATTGACTAATAATTCAACACGAACAACCTTTTCTCGTATGTAATGATAATCAACCTCTAGATGTTTCGTGCGTGAATGGAAGACAAGATTGGAGGCAAGTGCAATGGAAGAAATATTGTCACACCAAATCGTTGGTTGACTAAGATGCAAATGCAGGTCTTTAAAAAGAGATTGAAGCCACGATAATTAGCTGCAGTATAGGCCAACTGTCTATACTCAGCCTTTGCACTAGACCTTGAAACTGTCTTCTGTTTCTTTGAACTCCATGATACAAGATTGGCACCCAAATAAATGCAGCAACCACCTGTGGAATGTCTGGTATTTGTACCAGCATAATCAGCATTAGAAAACGCAATCAACTTAGCATTTCCAGGTTTCTAAAGATGTCGTATGCGTGGCTTTCAAGTAACGGAGGATACGTTTCACTGCCTTCTAGTGAGTAAGTTTTAGTGCATGCATAAACTGGCATACTTGATTAACCGCGTAGGATAAATCAGGACGAGTAATAGTAATATATTGCAATGCTCCAACAACACTGTGATAGTTTGCTGGATTCTCATACGCACTTAGTTTCACTACTACGAAACCATTTATTAGTGTCGCTACGATAACCGACAAGAAACGTATATTACTGTTGGATTTTAGGCAAAATCCGACAAAAAATAGATGCAGTGGCAGATATAATAAGCGACAGAATTGTCAGCGTCAGGAAATGGATTTTCCAACAGAAAATACTCTAAAACCGACAGAAATTGTGTCGGATATAACTGACAGATAATATTAATAATGAATAAATAAGAGCATTCTCTGTCGGCTAAAATCGACAAAAAATATATTAATAATAATAAAAATATAAACCACTTTCTGAATCATTTCTTTCCCTTTCAAGTTAGCCTCCCCTGCATTCACCGCATTTTCCATATTCAACCTATGTTTCAAATCCTTCCTCTCTGATGACAACATGTTTGACAGGGGAAGAATTTACATGGGCACACCTAAACCCTATATATAGTTAGATAGAAGTTTGACCCCAACAAGAAGAAAAAGGATTGGAAAGACAAATAAATATATTTGAAAAAGAAAAGAAAAGACAAACCAGAAATTTGTGCAAGTTGTGCAAACATGTTAGACACCCCATGCTTCGCGGCAACATCAAGGTCTTGAACCAGAAAATTTCATCTAGCTCCATATGTCTTAGATTGACAAGTTTTTTCAATATTTTCAAGTTCTTGGGCAAATTTCATCTAGCTCCAGATGGCTCTCAGTTGCAAGTGTTGAACTGGAAGTAAATGAGGAGAGAAGAGAAGGAGAAAGAAATGAGGAAAGGAGAAAAGGGGGAAGTAAGGGGGAAGGGAGAAGGCATCGGCGTAAGGAAGAGATGGAGCAGTTTTATTTTGGAAAATTTTCATTACTGTCGGTTAAAACTAACAGAAACATTTTTTAAAATATAAATCGACATCAAATTTTCATTACTGTTGGTTATAACCGACAGAAAAAAAAATGGTAGCCAAAATCCCCCCAAAATCCCCTCCCAAAATTTAAATTCCCCCCCCCCCCAAAATTTTTGTTACAATTTAAAAAAATAAAATAATAATTGTTTGGTTTAATAAATAAATAAATAATATGTATTTAAATAGAATACGTCTTTAAAAATTAAATAAATAATTGTTTGGTTTAATAGATAATAACCCATGTAAAATATGCAATAAAGAAACAAAAAGATAATTGTATAATGAAAATGTCATCACACAAACTAAATATTGTCTAATCAATACTTGAAAAACATAAATAAAAATTTAGCACAAATTACTTTTCCCATTTCAAAATTTAGGCAAATTTAACAGAGATATGCATTCTACGAAACTAGTTTCAATGATCTAACCGTCAAACTTGTTTGTAGATACTACAAGATCGTATACGTAAAAAATCACAAAAAAAAAAACATTTAGAGATTAGGTAACGGAACAAAAGTTTTCGACGGTTATAAACAAAAAATCACAATTTAACGGTTATTTTAGCTCCGATTTTGATGATTTTTTACAGCTACACTCTTCGACCCTATAAAAATGTATCGAATGAACTCGATCTTCAATTTAAAATATTTACACTAGTGGATACCATAAAATCTTATTTTATACTTGATGGGGAAGTATAACATTAACTCTAAGTGTTTGTTTAATCTATCATTTTGCTGCGATACGCATTCCACGAAACGTTTTTCAACGATCCAACCGTCAAACTTGTTTATACATACTCTGAGATCGCAAACATAAAAAATCGTAAAAAATAAACATTCAGAGATTAGGTAACGGAACAAAAGTTTCGATGGTTATAAATGAAAAATCACAATTTAACGGTTATTTTAGTTCCAATTTTGATGATTTTTTACAGCTACACTCCTCGACCCTATAAGAATGCAATGAATGAATTCGATTTTCAATTTAAAATATTTACACTAGTGGATAAATCTTATTTTATACTTAATGGAAGTATAACATTAAGTGTTTGTTAAATCTATCAATTTGATAGGATATGCATTCTATGAAACTAGTTTCAACGATCCAACCGTCAAATATATTTGTATATACTCTGAGATAGCATGTGTAAAAAATCGCAAAAAAAAAAAAAAAAAAAATCAAAGATTAGGTAACGGGACCATGAGTGAAAAAAAAAACTTTTACAGATTATTCTGGCAGCCGCACAAAATTTTACTTTGTTCGTGTCGATTATATCCGACAGGGCCATGAGTGAACAAAAAATTATTTAAACCATGTGTTTATTTATTTATTTTTAATCAATATAACATTTTAAAATAATAAAATAATCAATTTCTGTCGATTATAACTGCCAGAATACTAAAATAATAACCGATAGAAACTAAAATAAAATGGACTCATCTCTTATAGTTTCTTGGAGCGATGGATGATAAAACAAAAAATTTGTCTTATCAATGTTACGAGTGCATTAAGTAATTACTAGTGACTTTAACATTAGTTTGGTTGAACCCTCCAGGCTGGATTACTCCTTGGTGATTTAAGACTTGACAGAGTGGTCCGACATTCTAGTCGTGGCTTCAGTTTGAATCCCATATTTCCTTTTCCTAATCAAGAAGTACCCAACATAATATCACTGTCTGGCTACACACTTTTCACCTTCTTGTTTGGAGTAAAAATGGACGTCAGATTAGTATATAAAACCGGAAGAAAGGCCACCGGTGGTTTAACCTTGATAGTGCCTCTAATTGCCGCCACTATAACCCTTCTCATCCTCACCTTCCAGTGGTCCTTACGTGTCGGTTATATCCGACAGGGCCATGAGTGAAAAAAAAAATATTTAAACCATGTGTTTATTTATTTATAATCAATATAACATTTTAAAATAATAAAATAGTCAATTTCTGTCGGTTATAACAACTAGAATACTAAAATAATAACCGCCAGAAATTAAAATAATAAAATAGTCAATTTCTATTGGTTATAACCGCCACCATTAACTTAAAAACAGCCGGAATATGTTAAAAATATTAAAAAAAAAGAATTAAAAAATACTGGCGGTTATAATAATTTTATGGCGATTGCATCCGACACTAAATATCCGCCAGGAATTTATGTCGGATATAACTGACATGATTTATTGTTATCCGACACTAACTGAATGATATGTCGGATATCTTTTATCCGACATAATGACTTATTAAACCGCCACTATCATCCAACACCTAAAGCTAATATTGCAGTAGTGTTTTTGTCCACATGAGACTGGAGTCGATATAGGCTTAGCATCACTGAACTTTGTATGTATGAGTAGGTCCAAAGCATATTTGGACTAACTGAGATGCATGCAATTCCCAAAATATTTGACTTTAATACCCAAAATATAGTGGAAAGGTCCCAAATCCTTCATGGAAAACAAGGTCTGTAACTTGGTGATCAAATGTGCCATCTGTCGTGGACTATTCCCAGTGAGTAGAATATCATCTACATAGATTAACAGGATGAGATACACACCTTTTTTATTAAACACAAATAAGCTGTAATCACATGTAGATTATTGAAAACCAAGTTGAAGCACAAATTTTGAAAATTGTTGAAACCAAGCCCTAAGAGCTTGTTTTAAACCGTAAATGGAATGCTGTAACTTGCAAACATGATGGGGAAATTGCTTGTCAACAAAACCCGCAGGCTGTCTCATGTATACTTCTTCATTTAAATATCCGTGCAAAAATGCATTCTGCACATCAAGCTGTCGCATATGCCAATTTTTTAAGACTGCAAGACTAAGAACAAGTTGAATGGTACTGTAATTGACAACGTGAATGAAGGTCTTGGTGTAA